CTTCCTTGGTTAGGTTTATTCCTAGGTATTTTATTCTTTTTGATGCAATGGTGAATGGAATTGTTTTCCTCATTTCTCTTTCTATTGGTTCATTGTTAGTGTATAGGAAAGCCACAGATTTCTGTGTATTAATTCTGTATCATGCAACTTTGCTGTATTCTGATATCAGTCCTAGTAGTTTTGGAGTGGAGTCTTTAGGGTTTTTTATGTACACTATCATGTCATCTGCAAATAGTGACAGTTTGACTTCTTCTTTACCAATCTGGGTTCCTTGTATTTCTTTGTTTTGTCTAATTGCCGCGGCTAGGACCTCCAGTACTATGTTGAATAACAGTGGGTAAAGTGGACATCCCTGTCTTGTTCCCGATCTGAGAGGAAAAGCTTTCAGCTTCTTGCTGTTCAGTATGATGTTGGTGTGGGTTTATCATATATGGCCTTTATTATGTTGAGGTACTTGCCCTCTATACCCATTTGTTGAGAGTTTTTATCATGAATAGATGTTGAATTTCGTCAAATGCTTTTTCAGCGTCTATGGAGATGATCATGTGATTTTTGTTCTTTTTTTAATGCATGCTTTGCATATCCTTAAGTTTTATCTTTTAAAGGGTGTCAGATGATCAGCTATGGAAGTTCATTTTTCTGATAATATTCCTTCTCTTAAAAAAGAAAAAAGCAGTTCCTGTGTGGTGATCTCCAATAGGTTCTTCACAATGGTATAAAGGTCATATCAAAGTGTGAGCAAAGGGTTTGTTTGTGTTTATACGGAGGATCAAAGCCTAATTTGGCTACCCAGAAAACGAATTAAGATACAATATGAACAAGAACTTCCAACATCAACATCCTCTGGAAGAGTCATTCCAGAAGATGATCATCAAAAAGTTCAACAAAGATCCTGGCGCTGTTGCAGTTGTAGCTGCATTCTTCCCACTGGTTCCTGGACTTGCCATTGGAATGAAGAAGGAGATATCTAAGCTGGCCTGTGCATACAGTAAAGCAACAAATTTGACTGGATCTATACTGTCGGAACTCAACCAAGAATTAGGAGAAGTGCAAGTTGCGGTGCTCCAAAATCGTGCAACTATAGACTATCTACTGTTAAAAGAACATATGGGATGTGAACAGTTCGCAGGAATGTGTTGTTTTAATTTGTCTGATTTTTCTCAAACTATTCAAATTCAGTTAGATAATATCCATCATATCATTGATAAGTTTTCACAAATGCCTATGGTACCTAACTGGTTTTCTTGATTTCACTGGAGATGGCTGGTAATTGTAGGTCTGCTTTTGTTATGTAGCTGTATTCCTATTATGTTAATGTGTGTATGCAATTTATTTAGTAGTTTAAAACCTATACATGGTTATGTTACTCTACAAGAAGATATGTCAAAGAAATAATCAATCTTCCCATGTTTTCTTCCGTCTGCTACTTCTATAGCTTTTCTTCTTCCTTCCTAATTACAACCGTTAAGTAGAATTTGTGCCTCATATCGAAATTACTGAGTACCATAATTCTTCCAAGTGGTAAAGATACCTCAAGACAAATGCTGGGCATAGAAGCCACAGGGCATAAATCTGCAAAGAAGTAAAAACTAACCTTTTCAAAGAATATTGCTTCTTTCTCACTTACCAACTTTACATTTCCCTGTATGGCACCGGAAGATGACTGGTTAGCCAGAGACGGGTAAGATTCCTCAAGGGAGGAACAACCTAAGACAGGCACAGTTGCAGGGGGCCATCAGGTGAGAAATTGGGGATCAACAGAGGTGAGGCTTAGAACCTCACCCCCCCTGTTTTGAGAGAAATCTTCTCTATCCGTGGATGTTTTGTTGCCCTTGTCTAGCTTGGATTCATACTTAGTCTATAGGCACACACCTGATCATCTACATTTGCCCTCTTGTAGCACTGAATTATGTTTTCTACCTTTTTCTTGCATCTACCTACCACTTCAGTATTTTATTTAAAATAGTATTAATAATAATAAGGGAGAAATGTGGGATTCACATATAAATCAAGTATAAAAATCAAACGAATAATCATATCTGACTTGATTGTTTATACTTCATGATGCGTCATCTAAACCGAAAGTTTCTTTGATATGACACACCATGTAAGAACTTATTCACTATGTAAGAACTTGTTCACCATGTAAGAACTTGTTTGTTATGCTTCAGAAGATTGGAGACTGTTGAGAATTAGGCTTGGGGTTGATTAATGATTGTGCATTGTGTCCCCTATATAGAATTTTATTGTTGTTAACAACCATTTGATCAATAAATATGAGAGATGCCCTCTCAAAAAAAAAAAAGAGCTAATGCCCACAGGGAGGTTTGAGGCAACATGTTGGAAAGTTGCGAAACCGGATTAGGTTGGTAGCTTTGAAGGAGAGACAGAAGTGGAACCCTTATGAAATTCTTTAAGCCAGGATGACTGTCTGCAGTTACATTTAATAGAGCACTTACAGCTTTCAGTACATTGCTGTTAACACATTCAGGTATTTTTTGTGATGTGGTTGTTTGCATTCTTTGTAAACTGTGTTAAAAGGGCTGTACAGAAATGATATTTGTGGTAGGTTTTTTGTTAAGTGTAACATTGTGAAGATGGCATAAAAAACCTTAAAAATGTTAACTTAGTACAATTTATAGTTACCTATGTGACAGTTACCTAAGAGAAACATGTGTTTTCAACTCTGACTACTTAATGGCAGTTTTTGTCATTTCATTTTTAGGTTTAAAAGCTTCAGCTGAAATCAATTTGCAATTGAAAATTGGACCAGCAAAAGGTTTGATATTGTGGAATACCTAGCAAACAAGCAATGTCATCTTATGAAGAAGAAAAACTCTTGTGTTATAATGGAGAAGTCCTTGTTTTTCAATTGTCTGAAGGAAATTTTGCACATGAAAGGCCTGCAAAAATTCCCATATTACGTGTCAGAAGAATGGTATTTGACAAAGGAACAAGAGCATTTGTTCAGAAGTCCACTGGATTCTTCAGCATAAAGGAAGAAAACTCTGATTTAAAAATTATGTGTTGCAAATGTGTGTCAGATTTCAGAACTGACATTTGCCTCCCTTGTATTGTGATACAGTGCATTAAAAAGAATAACGTTTTCAAATATATTCTACTATTTCTCCACAATACCAATAAATTTGAAAAACGTTTGAGTTTTAGACTAGGCCATGAGTTGGAGGACACCATAAGGGTCCTTAATGGCCCTCTACTTTTATGGAGATATGCCAAAACATTCTTCTATATCTCTTCCCAGACTCGGAAAATTATTACTGTGTCTGTTAACTTTTCCTCTATTGAGTGGACCGGGGAGATTGAAAATATAGGTATGGTTTTATTAGGACCAAAGGAACATTTTTTTTCTGAAGAAGGATGTACCCAAAAGTCTTCAAAATCAGATTATGCAATTCAGAATACCAAATTTTGTGTATACTCCCTTGAAAGTGAAGAAGTAATAAGTGATAAATACATTATCCCTCTTGCTTATAGCAGCTTGGTAACTTGTGTGCATATCTGTGATGCTGAGATTGTCAACAACCAGTTAAAAATGTCTCTGATTGCCCTAACTCGAAAGAATCAGCTGATTTCCTTCCAAAATGGGATGCCTAACCGTGTCTGCCAGCTTCCATTTGGAGATCCTTGTGAAGTTCAACTTAGGGAATCAGGTGGAGGAGACCTTTTCATTGTATCCTTTAGGTCCAATGATGTTTGTGCTGTTTGGGAAAAGAACTTTCAGGTACAGTACTTATTCTCATAGTTATTTGGTTGGTGTAGTCTTAGATCTATTAAGCATTCCTATGCATCAGAGTTCATTTGGAGTATTACTATCCAAATAGTTTTTAGTGCTCCACTTAAAAGAAAATCATATATATATTTCATCATTCATTTTTCTCAAAAGTTATCTGAATACTGCCTAATAAGGTTTTGCCTTGCCATTCTGAGTCATAAAACCTTTGTTTAGAAATATCTAAATATGTAACTACAGTGATTATATATTGTTTTTTAATATAACTTTCTAATTTTTATTAATGTGATAATTAGATGTGTTTTTTTATTTAGAGTAAGATTATTAGTGATTTGATTTCATAAGCCTTCCTAGAAAACTCGAAGCATTTGTTCAGCTTTTTTAAAGCTGGTGATGATCTATTTAAATATAAAATGAAACCTAGAGAAATTCCTTGAAATATCTCATTGTCCCTTTGGAGATAAATAATGGTTCTCCAGAGACAAGTGATGTTTTTTTTTCCTTAAAACTTGCTTAGAGAATTTTATATTTTGAAACTCAGAGTTGTTCTTTGAGCAGGCATTCACATTTTATCTACATATAGTCATATCTTTTAATGTAGATTTGGAAATTGCTTTAAAATACTGGTATTGAGCATTCAGTAACAGATAAAAAGGTGCAGAAAATAAGTACGAAATTGAAGGTTTATAACTGGGTGTCTCCACCAGTATTTCTCTGACCCTCATTTTTTTTGGTAACATTGCATCCTCCTGGCTTAAGATACATATCAGTACATTCAGTTATGTGTTTTGAAGTGTTATAATCCAATATAAATAATCACTAGTAGTCAGAAATGTCTCTTCCAAAATTAGTTTTTTAGTACATTATACAACTCTCTAAGTTCTTGTGGTACTTTGGAAAAAAACAGATACTGCCTTAGTTTATGTGCTCTGACCATTAAATTTGAAGCTCACCTAAAGTTGTATCACTGTTATCACCTGGATAGGGAATATTGATAAATGTTTTAGAAAGTTTGAAAGGCATTTTAAAATCTGGACTGTTATGTACCTGTGTTTGTGTGTGTGGAAATGTCAGATTGAAATTGTGTTCTATCAGGCTTTACCTTGTAAATTACCTTTATGTTAATGGGGGTTATGTAACCATATTTAATGTCTGTAATACATAAAGGACTTAAATTCTTAAAAGGAAAATATTTTGAAAATTATCCTATTTTATTTTGAAAACAGTCTTTTAAAAGTACATTATACTTTTATTTGAAGGTTATTTGGATGGTAACATTTTCTGTCTTTTTCTACTCTCACTTCGTTTCAAGAAATGGTAGGGCGTAACATCGAGGACCACCTGTAAACCTTATTAGGGTCAGGATAATGGAAAGAACACACATAACGTGGCTTTGGATTCCAACTGAGCCACTTAACTAGTGTTACCTTAAAGGATGTATTTCATTTTTGTAGACTCATTTTCTGTCTTTATGAAATGGGCATCATCTTTCCTCTGAGAGGAGATAATTAAATAAAATGATACTGTAAATTGTCTTGCACAGTGTTTGGCTCATAGGAGAAGTTCAGGAAGTAGTAGCTTTAAAATGTTAAGACAAGAACTAGGGCTGTCATCACTGACTTGTACATACCCCGGGTCCCTCATTCACCTGGTTAAGGACAAACAGTTCCCTCGTGCTTCATTACTTCAGTGGAATATAGTCCTCACTCACTTGAAGTGGGTGTCCCTGCTTGGACACTAGAGCTCTGCCACTAACACAACACCCGTAGTAGGAGACTGTCATTCCCAGTAAGGGGGCCTGTAATTGTTGGCTTCCCTGCCTTGAATTGTGTTCTGGGTTTTTTTTTTGTCTACAAGGGCCCACCATTCTTTCCACAAGTTACCTAAAAACTTACTGACATACCCCTTAAGCTCTGTCTTCAGGGAGTCTGTCCTTTTAAAGCTGTTCTCAAATGCCCTGTATTGAGAGCTCTGAAGTTACTCCCTGATCTGTAAGTTAAGTGCTGCTAAATTGCCCCAGTAACCTCGCCACTCTGGGAGTTTTGCTGCTCTTGCCTTTATCTTGGTGTTAAATTTGTACCCACCTACTTGAAAGTTGGATATAGTTTAGGGTAAAATATATTTAATTAAGGGAAAATATATTACTTTAAAAACAGGAGTAAAAGCTAAAAATCTACAATAAAGTGGAGGGGAGAGTGAATACCATGTCAGAACCTGGGTTAAGGGAAGTAATTGCATTTGAGTGTTTTATTTATACTTAGTTTAGCAGTTAAGACAAAGAAAGTAAATAGAGCAGGACTTAGAATTGAATGGAACACACTACCAAGAGAAAATTTTTTTCTAGCATTGAGTTCTGAGGGGAATTTACTATTTGTGGTATTATGTAAGAGGTTTTGAATAATAGAATGGATACATTATTGAGTAATAAAATGGTATCTTTGATAGCACTTTTGCCTCCAAATGGGAGAAAACAAAAGCAGTTTTCCTTTGGGTTGGCTGTGTATTCATCATCCATTCTTTCACTGTCTCATTCCATAAAGGAATTAAGGCAGCTTGCAAAGATAGGTAAAATAGAAAATGTATAAATTAGAATGAGTAATGAAGATTAAGTTAGTATGTTCTCAGATCAGCTCTTCATAAAAGCCCCAGGTATAATGTTTAATCTAGTCAAAGGGCTTGAAACAGAGAGCTGAGTCTAGAGAAAAACATGAGTAGCTTTTCTTAGCATTTCTTTCTTGTATACAAACTTTCTGCAAGCTTTGACAAGAATCAATGTAGCAAGCATTTCAAAATTGACATCATTGTCAAGTATACCTGAAACAGTTATTGGTGTGTTGTAGATTGCAGGAAGTTAATTTGGTCTAGAAGTGTGCTAATATGAAGCCACTAGCCACATGTGGTTATTCACCATTTGAAATGTGGCTAATCTGAATTAGAATGTACAATAAAATATAAATGTTTACTACACACCAGATCTCAAAGATTTAGTAAAAAAATGAATATAAAATATCTCAATTTTTTATTGATGATATTGAATTGAAATGATATTTGGGATATGTTGGATTAAATAAAATATAATTTCACCTTTCTCTTTTCACTGCTGCTAGAGAATTATATTTTATTGGCTACTGGAAAATTTTAAATTACGTATGTTCCTTGCATTTGTGGCTCATGGCCCACCTGTATTCCTTTTGGACAGCACTATTCTGGAGCTTTAGGTTGCAAATATGTGTGGTTGCATATGAGTGAGTGCACAGCTCTATGGTATTCACATCCCAAACACATTACTAATGTCTCTACCTTGTTCATTATACTCCAGGAGCCTCATGCGGGTTGAGAGAAAGGGAGGATTTGGGTTTACAAATAGCTTCTTCCTTGCATGAGTGAAAAATCACAGCTTTGGAAATTAGCCTCATAGAGGAAAAACTATTTGGTTATACAGATTAAAGAGTCTTACATTCTTGCTTTAATGCAAGCTACCCTCTATGATCTAAATGATGTGTCTGCACTTCTGAGTGGGAATTTGAGCTTTGTTGCCTGAGGGAGAAGGGGTATCTGATCTCCATGGTGTTAGTTTTCCAGGGTGCTCATCTGGAGTCTTTCAGCTTTATGGACCTTTAAGAAGTTATCTTCTATTTTCTATCTTCTGAACTTGAGAATCTCATGTTCTGGTATAAACTGATCAAATCATTCCATTAGGCTAGTAAGGTTCTAGGTGCCCCACAGTTAGGATCCCTCCCCTTCTGTGCCCATGATAATGGCTGCCCTGATAAACACCAGGATTTAGGGTGTTAAGTTCATCTTGACTCTTAAAGGTTATTCTGCTTTGAGAGCTCTTAAAGTACCTACCAGTTACCTAATTCAACTGAATTTCTTGTGTAAATTGGTCTAATCATAAGTTCATGCTCACTAAGGCTTATGGGAGTGAGGGTCATCCTTAAATTAACTGTGTTGGAGAGAGAACTTTCACTAGAGTTACTCATGAGAAATGTTAGAATTTCCAAAATATTCAACCATGGAAAGTGTTAGAACTTATAGATTATAATAAATTTTTGATAGAGAAATTAGGAATGTGACAGTGCCTAGACAAACTTTGATAGAATACTAAATTTAAGTACCTTGCTATTTATAAAGTTACTGTAACTCCTTATATTTTCTCATCCCCCTATGTCTTTTATTTTGGTTCTTAGTGTTTATACTACCATTTTCATTGCTTGTTTATAAGCTGAAGATTGCAAATTACAACAACATGCAACAAAAGGATTTAGTTTAGTTCACATCTGATTTTTTTCTCTTCTTTACCCTTCTCTTTCAGGTTGCTGCTAAGTGGGAAAAAGCTAGCTCAGTACTGATAGATGACTTTATTGGAACTGGAACTGAACAAGTACTGCTTCTTTTTAAGGATCCCTTGAATTCAGATTGCCTGAGTTCATTTAAAATAACAGATCTTGGCAATATAGACTATTCGGTAAGTTCTGTTTACTTTTAATGCATTACTTCAAGAATCATTTTAGAAAATTTGAACACTTTAAACCTTTTTGACCCACCATTTAAATAGTTGTGATTTCATGCTTAAACTATTTGAATTTTAAAGATAGATTGAATCTTTTAAATATATGCATTTAATCCCCTTTCAACAAATGTTAGATAAGTGAACTATGCTTTTGATAGTTTATCAAAATTGGAAGACAGTATATCTGATGTTCACTCAAGTGATAATACTGTAGATTAACCTTATTGTTGCTTCTGAAAATCACATACCGAGAAGCATGATAATATTTAATTAATTAACCATTAAATTGAAGTGAAACGGTGTTATTAAAAGAAGTGACAGTTCTTAATATCTTAAGATCTTGGGCATAATGGAGATAATACCCTCAAAGTTTCAGATATATATAAAAGATCTCTGAGCCTGTTTTTTTCCTTAGTAAGATGAGGATAATTCTTGTTTTCTCTAGTTACGTGATTTTATAAAACTCTAGTAAGATGGTACTTTTTGAAGCAGTATACAAATGTTAGGTGGGTAGTAATGGTGGTAATCATAGTAATTTTTTTTCTAGCCACAAGAAGATGATGGGAAAAATATATATATTTTTTTACATAATAATGTGTAACATTAAAAACTTCCCTGTGGACAAACTGTAATTGTATTATGTTAATCTTATGCATTTTCAATTTATTTCAAAACTTCAGTTGTGTATTTTTTTATTTATTAGAGTGAAACATTGGATTGCAGTGATGAAGACTTATTTGAAGGCAAAGAGAATTGTTATTTGATGGTTCCACCTCTGGAAAGAAGATTGAAAGTTAGTGTCTGTGTTTGCTTTTTGCTTTTGCTTTTTTGGATTAGTGGTGTTCTAAATGAAGGAAAGAACATGGAAAGAAAGTTTCTTAAAGTGTAAACAACTCAGGGATTGGGAAAAAATGGTATTTCAAAGGATCTTCACCTTTTCAGTATATCTCTGTAAAAACTATTATGACGTTACTTATAAATGTATCATCTAAAAATGATACCTTTTTGTAGTAAGATTGTATAAATTTAGTAAGCCTCATAAGAAAAAATAGAAGCTCACTTTAGAAAACACATTCTTTCTGGTCTTTAGGATCAGTACCACAGAATCTCTTTTAAAGGAGCAGCAAATATGATGACTATGTTCCAAACACGAATAGTTTACCCTCAAGTTTTTCATATAGAGCTCCCTAAAAAGAGTTTTGTTTTTTCCCCAAATGTCTGAAGGTTATACACATTCCTTGTAAAATACTCAGACTATGCAAAGATATATTAAGAAGAAACTAATGATGACCTGTGATTCTGCTCCTGAGATATAACCAGTTTGAACACTTTGGCATGTATATTCTTGTAGATTTTTTATTTCTGAGGATGCACTCATTGCCCGTCTGCCTACATATTCCTCTCTTCTACTCCCTACCTCTCCAGCAGCCTCACATTTGGCTATCCACCTCTGTTGGGTACATCTCCTGTCCCCTAAGTCATGAATTACTTAGTGAATGAGTGATGGAGTGTGAATGAAGTGGAGCCCACAAAACTAGGCCAACACAGGAAATGTTACAATATTAGCTAGACACTTGGCATACTTTGTGTGGTGAGGTAAGATACAATTCAGTCTTCACTCTCCAAATTGTATTCACTGATAAAGAGAAAAAGAATTTACCTACCTTAAAATGTAATTTAAAAGAGAAAGGAATTAAAAAACAGAATGCATTTTATTTTTTCAATCTAGAAAGACATATTAAAAGCTGGATTAATACTTAAACAGTCTCAGGTATCCATCTGAAGTGAAATAGCTTCCATCAGTTCGATGACGTGACTCTTTAAATTTTCAGTAGCAAAATATATTTCATGAATGTTTCACCCTTATTGATGAATCTATTAATCTGGTGTAATAAAAGGAACAGATAGCTCTTTGCCCAGTCCAAAGCCCAATTTTGCTTTTTTCAGTAGTTAAGAATTGACCCTAGCACTGAGTTTATTATTTAGCACAAAAATAAACTTGTGACAGTTTGGGGGCTGTTATGTGTTATCTTTAAAATTTTGCTATAAAGGTTATATGAACAGAGGATTTCAGACAATGTCAAATTAAAAATGACCATTTCTCTTCATAGTAATGTCTTTTTGAAGCAGAAATTATTTCAACAAGAAAAACTGTTTCTTGTGGGGGTAGGAGTGTTAGTAGGCCTTGATTTTTATTCATATTGATAGGACTTACTCATATTCATACTGATTGATTATGTGACTCAGTGATGGAACAGATGCTAATACATTGACATTCTCTCAATTTGATATATAAAATCCATTGCAGTTATTTGCCCTGTTATTTTCCTTTGTAACTAGAGACTTAAAATTTATGGTTTTGCTCTGAGAACTATTCTCTGCTTTTCTATAGAAAAATGAATTAATAAGTAAATTTGGAGAAAGTACTTCCTGAATTAATGGTATGTCAGGTTTCATTTGGAATTATATCTCTGGCAATGATTTTTCTTCCTGTTTTACAGGTTGGTTTGGTTTCTAGTCAGGAATTACAGCAGCATCTCTTGCTTAAGGAAAAAATTATTGCAAAATATTGCAAAACTTTAATAAACATGGTTCAAGGGAAGGATGATAGTACATCAAGTACAGAGGAGGTAAAGTTAATCATGTGACTATTTTATCATTTTATGATGTGAAAATCTACAGGCTGTTGAAGTAATAAATTGCAATAGTGGGATATAAGGAAATGCTGCCCAGTGGAACCAAGAAACAAGGTGGCAGAAATTATAATGGTGGGCTTTTATGACAGTGAGAACTATTTGATTAAGAAGCCTATATTTTACCAATTTGCAAATTATTCTTATTTTGTAGGACATTAAAATCTGTTACCAGGAACCTTGGGGAACAAGTCCTTCTGTTTAAAAAAGATTTAATTATTAAACTTTTTATTTGTATAGTTTGAATAGAATTATTGCTAAGTGAATTATATGTTTTCTGACTCCTTAAACAATATACTGAGCATTATTTAACCTTGTATCAGTGATGGCATAATTTCTTCATTGGTATAATAATTATCCTTTTAGTCTGTTGCCTGCTCATTTCTAAGGATATTTCTTCTTTTAGTTAATGTCCCTAACTTGCTGTGCTTTTTTAGTCCTTGTATCTGCTTTTTATGATTTTACTCTGGTTTTCCTTGTGGTTGACCATCATAAGAACTGCAAGGAACAGTACTTGGCAGTTACTTATTCCAGTATGATAATGGAGAAAGTTAGCAAAAACTGCTTTGACTTCATAAAAATAATATTATGCATATTAGTTCCATACATAGAAAGTATAGCACAAATAAATCAAGGAGAGCTGGACATAGAGAAGCTTGTTTTGCGTTGTATTCCCTCAAGTCACTTTAATGCCTAGCTCTGCTTCCTTCAAGACAATCATTCTTGTAATGGTCTGTGCTTTGTGTCTGTATTTCACTCTTAGCAATATGAGGATTTTGGTTCAAAGATGAGTCCATTACTGTAAGAATCATAACAAAAGCACACCATGCTGCATTTCTGTATTACTGTTCTAATATCCCAGAAACCTCACGAAAGTCATTGTTAAATCTCCCAGTTTCCCTTCCTCACCTCACCCCAATGATTTTGTCAGTATTAGAAAAGGGGAAGAAATGTTTAGAAGTTAATTCATTGAAGCCATTGTATGCAAGGCACCATTTATGGCCTTTCACGTGGCTATTTTGAAAGCAATTCTGGCAGGTAGTAAAAGTTTCTTCAGGTTTTGGATGAATAGCCAGCCTTAAGTCTTACAGCTACTGGCAGAAGCATCAGATTCCTAGGGACATGTTTAGTCCACTATAATGTGTTAAGTGCCCAAATCTTTTTTCAGTAATTACCACACAGTGGGGCTGTATAGAATAATGGGTAAGATGGAGCATGGGCTCTGGAACCAGTCTGCTTTGGTTCAAATCCCAGCTCTGCCACCTGCTAGCTGTGCGACCTTGGGCAAGGTACTTAACCTCCCTGTGCCTCATTTTCCTTTTCTGGAAAATGTAGATAATAATACTACTGACCTAGGGCATTAGGGTTGATGTGAAGGTTAAGTAAATTGCCACAAGAATGGCATTTAGAACAGGGCCTGACATATAGTAAGCATTCAGTTAAGTGTTGTCTATTATTATTATCATTACTTGTCCTCCTCTTCCTACTTCTATTGTTATTATTAATCTGTATGTATATGGAAATGAATGATACTGGCCTCCTTATAAGAATAAAATTATTGCAGTAACTGATCAGCAGTCCAGAGGTAGCTTAATCAGTTTTATTCATACAAAAGTGTACAGTTACAGGTTTAGTGCAAGCCACTGAAATAAAGATTGGATTGTTTTCAGTATGCCTGGGGCATATATTGTCAGATTATTTTTCAAAATAGACTCCAGATTTATATCCCTGTTGGCTCTGTGTTGGATACCCCATCTTGTTTCCAGTCAGGTCATGCTTTTTGATCTGAGTAGACAATTATGTATTTGTTTTATAATAAATTTTATTTTAGTGAATCATGTATGATCTATAACATAGATGATAATTGATTTTAAAATATGTAAACCATAAGGTCTGGCCAAAAAAGCTAATCTATGTTATTTTTTTAGTTTTACTATGTTTGGTAGTATTTTTGTAATCAGTTATTTAAACATGTTTTTCTATAAGGGATGTCTTGTTACTCTTTGTGGTAAAGAAGAAAATCCTGTCTATACCTTTGATGGAAAGTCATCAGACAATTTTCAGAATTCAGAAAAGCTAGTGGAGAAGCTGTGGTATCGTGTAATAGAGGATAGCTTGGTTGTTGGAGTGAAAAGCACATCTTCGTTGAAGCTGTAAGTAAATTCTAACATCATAACATTGTCTTGATACTCTAGAACAACACTGTCCAACAGAATATAATGCAAGCCACATGCATAATTTTAAATTTTCTAGTAGCCATATTAAACAATGTAAATAGAAACAGGTGAGATTAATTTTAACAATGTTATATCCAAAACATCATTGCTGAGGGCTAAACAATATTCTGTATTAAAAAGCACATTTTATTCAAGTCATTTAGGGAACTAAAAATGCAGTTTTTAGCAATGTTTGCATTCTGAATTAACGAAATAAACTTGTTAAAAGTTTTTTTCTTGCTTAAAAAGAAGGGGATAAAATAACGTACCTCAAAAATAAAATTAAGCATTATTTTACCATTCCTTTCTCTTAAAAAATTAATTTCCTAAAGTCCAACATATTTACAGTGTTTTTGCTTACCTATTTCAAGAGAAGTGTTAATATAGACTCTTTAAAAATGTTTTAGCTTTTATGCTTAATTTTCTGGTGTATTTTACATTTGAAATGATGTTTCCTAGGAAAAGAGAATTTGTTGTTTGTATGGCATTTAATCATCTGTTTGATTTTAAAGAATGAGCTTTCAGATGAAACTGAACTCTTGAGGTTTTTTTTGTAGGTCCCTGAATCATGTGACTTTATTGCTGTTAATGGATCGGCCCCATAACTCCAGCATTCCGCTTATTAAATGTCAAAATAGGGTGATTAAGTTGAGTAGGGATTCTTTTCCAGTACCACGCTCAGTGCCATACAAAATAAGATCAGAGGCAAAAAGAATCAAGTTGACTGTTGATGGTAAGAAAGAAGAGGATGAAGAAGAGGAAAGCACTGTTTGTGAACAACCACCTGAGAAAGAGTGTATTCAGATAATTACTGCTGTAACATCTCTTTCACCACTTTTAGCATTCAATAAGTTCTGCTGTGTTGTGCTGCTACAAATTAGGGAAAGAAAAAATGATAACTCTTCTGAAGATCATTATATTCAGTGTGGCAGGATCTTTTTAAATCTAGAAGATCTTTCAAGTGGGAAATACCTGCTGACATTTCCAAAGAACAGACCTATAGGTAATTCTTGTTCATATATTTAATTATATACATAATTGAATCCAAAAATTTTAAGAATTCTCTTTATTTGATAACAGAGTTTAATGACAGAATTCGTGACATGTTTTTCTTGTAGAACACATGGAAGATCTCTTTGCACTTCTCGCAGCATTGCACAAAACTTGTTTTCAAATCACATCACCCAGCTGTTCTCTGACTCCAGTGAAGACATGGCTCTTAGAATGCATGAAATGTGAAGTAGTCAAAGATTTTCCAGAAATTTGCTTTTGCAAAAGGCCAGGAAGTTTCTATGGGACACTCTTCAACTGGAAACAAAAAACACCATTTGAAGGGATTTTAATAGTCTATTCCAGGTAATGACACCAAATTGGAATTGGTCCAGAGAAGTTAATGTGTGTGTGTGTGTGTGGTCAGACAGCAGTCCCCACAGTAGAATTCTGTGCCACTGTGAGACATGTCTGGGTCATTGTCTGGCTTGGCATGAATGGACAGGTGACCTCATTTAGAAACTGAAGCTGTTCTAATTTATGTTGGTTTTGGCTTTTGTTGTTGTTGATTAGAGCCAAATAATTATTTTAAGATTTCCCCTGAACTTCTTCCTCATGATGAAATTTAAGAAACATGGTGTTGATCTTAGTACTCAGAGAAAAAAATTCTAATAAGGAAGCAACCTAATTGATATTAACTGACTTGATATAGTATATTGGATTGGTAGAATCTGAATTGTATCAGTGATCATGAGCACACCTTATCGGTTCTATTCATTGCTTGAGGTTCTGTAAATGACTATTAATTGACTACTACAACATGTTATATACAACTGCTTTGTGCTATGTGACAAGTTTTATAATACTGTATTTGTTTTTTTTATCCCAGGAATCAAACAGTTTTGTTCCAGTGCCTTCATAACCTCATCAAAGCTCTCCCTATAAAGTGTTTCTTCAAAAATCTGAAATTAGGAAATAAGGATTGCCTGATTGATTATTTGGCATTAAGTTTGGAGAAGGAATTGGTTACCCTTGGTTCTCTTTCTTCTGCCTCAGTTAAGGTTGAAAACAACCCAGTGCAGAGCTGTGAAGCAAGCAAAGAAAAAGGTAGTGGAGCTGTGGCAGCTTTATCAGACACAAAGGAAAGCACCCATCCATACAGAGAAGAACTTCAGAGAGAAAAGCAAATGTTGGGGATGAACCTAACAGTGAGTGGTACCCTTTACAGAGAAATGACTTTGAAATTAGCTGAAGTTCAGCTACAATCAGACCTTGCTGCAGAGAGAGTGACTGGTTTATAATTACAATCTCAATTTGATTACACTTCAAAATATGTTTTCCTTGCCAGAACGTTTTGGTTACACTTGTTTTCATTTTACATTATATGCCTCCTTCTTAAAAATGAAGATTGAGGCTTGCTGTAGAATCTTTGGTTTTGATAATGTGTAGAACAGCATGCCTTAGAATAGCAGTCTCAACTGGGGCCATTTTGCCTCCTACCCCCCACCTCTCAGGGGCATTTGGCTATGTCTCGAGACATCATCTGGTTGTCAGAAGAAGTGAGGAATGGAGGGGAGGCAGGGGTATCATTGGTGTCTAGTGGGTGGAGGCCAGGGATGCCGCTAAACATCCTCCTCTGCTGCCCCTGCCACAGAGAAGAATCCGGCCCAACATGTCAGTAATGCTGATGCTGAGAAACTGCCTTAGAGTTTCCATTTAAGGCAGAAATGATGTAACTATTTTGGTCTAAATCTTCAAAAAACTTATAACAGTCCTTTTATTGTATTCTGCTTAGTAAAACCTAGCATACAAAAATCAGCCTCAAACAGATCAATAAGGTTGTCAGGAGTCACAAGTTTCTGTAAACATTAAACTCCTAAGGAAATTTAAATGGCAGAATAACTAAGTGAGCCCATTAAGATGAAAATGTTTGAAATCCTTGTTAATTTGAACCTTAGTAGAAAGCTTCTCTAACGTTGTGTAAGTCTATAGGAATGTGCAAATTCTAGGGCATTTTTTTTGAAAAGTGTCTCTTTCAAAAGGGCTGGGCATACCTCACAGGCCACTATTTTTTAATAAAATTAAAAGTGCCTTTAAGCCATCTGAAATTCCAACTCTAGGCAAAACTAAAATATAAAATTCTAAATAAATATTGTGGTGGAGAAGGAGTGAGAAATTTAAAAATAAGTGAAAATACACTTCAGTGAAGAAGTGATTTTTAAGGGGTCCAATGAGACATTTCATAGAAAGTAAAAATTCAACCTATTCCTTTATTTTGGAAAAATACAAATTCTGGAGTAATAAGAGAATGTGAGGAGAGGGAAAGACGCCAAGTATATGGGCCAAAACAAATGTTTCTGATCCTTTTTGCTCTAAAATTCTTAGGTGAGATGGAAGTTTCAACCTCAGTTGACAGAAATAAAGATGATTATAGAAAGTGGCATTTCATTCTTGCAGCTATGAAGTGCTAATTATCCCCATGCCTTCGAAGTACTTGTACCTAGTGATCTGGTGATACAAATGGTTTTAGAGAATATAGGTCATTATTTTCTTATCTGGGTTTTTATATTATCCATGTAATACACTACCTTTCTTTTTAGTAACCCAGTGCAAATTGAGATAGCACCCTGTACTTTATTTCTATGAAATGCCAGTGGAAAATACTTCAGACTTCTGGGAAATGGAAATGGAATAATTTCAGGATTAACTGTGGAAATCTAGAAGCAGTGTATATCAGTAGATATATTGAAACTGCCCATGACATGTTCTCAAAGAACAACCAAGTATAGTATATAGGAACTAAATTGTAAAATGGAGGTTGTCAAAAAACAGAATTTAATCATAATAGTTTATCTATAGGAAAGGATAATAAAATAAAGCATGCTGCTTGTTCATATTTATACAGGCAACCAAAAAAGTACATGTATATGTTTACTCTCTATATATATACCAAATAACCTCTTTACAAGTGAGTTTTGTACTCCAGCATAGTTTTTCTACTTACTGCAAGTTAGAAAATCCAGAGTTTGAGGAAATGATGCCCTAGCCACTCTCATGATTGAGTCGTGTTTGCCTCTGTGAGCATATTCCTCTGACCACCACCCTCTTCATGAGCCTGAGGCTCCCCTCAAAAAACATGATCCTTCCAAATCCACATCACTAAAGTGAAAATCAGTTTTGTTTTGGAACAGAGCATGCCATAGTTTTCAGACACAAAACTTTCTGTTGGTCTCCTGATCCCTTAACTAAAGAAGGGAGTGTAAGCCAGCTTAGGTATGACGTTACTCAGTTTGGTGTGCAAGCCAGCTTAGGTGTGGTGTTACACAGTTTGGTGAAAAGTTAAGTCAAATTAAGGGGTTGGACACAAGCAACTTTATCCTGTACCCTTGTTACTAATTTCTTTCAAAATCAGCAGACTGTTTAAGAAGTATAATAACAAGCAAGTGAATCTTTTATTGTCCTGATAATATCTCTTTATACCATATAGAATTGACTCCTCAATTTTTTCCCTATTCTCAGAAAGGGAAAGGTCTAATTCATTTACCTCTCTTCCTGCCCTTTCTAATAAAAACAAAAAATTTAATTGTCTAGGCTAAAAAACGATGTAAAGCGTTGTTTTTCTTTCTTTTTGCTCTTTCCTGTCTGCTTTCTTTCTCTTCTTTCCAGTCTGTCTGTTTTTCTCTGTTTGTCTGTCTTTTTTGTCTGCCTTTCCTGTGTTTCTTAAAACTTGGAGAATACCAGATATTGAAAGGTATCCTTTTTCTTTCTTGTACTGAAACTTGTGAAAACATTACTTTGCATTCTAAGAACTGGGGACTAAAAGCTTTTTCTTGGGTAACCCCATCTGGAGAACTTTAGGTTTTTGCTGCTAAAGACAGTGTGGTACAGTGGAAAAACTACTGATCATAACTGTAAATTGAATCCTTAAAAGGTTTGTTCTGTTTTCCCTCTTTGTGTTTCTTGAATCTGTTACTTGAATTTCTTACTGCCTCAACAGAACAGCCCTATTCTATAAAATATATACTACAGTGCTAAATATCTTCACAGTGCTAATGGTCTGCCTTCTTTTGAGGAACTTATTGCAATAATCCTTTATTGGCTATTTACTCAGTAGGGTAGCAGGCACTGTTCAGGTGGTGAATGTTCATAAGGGTAGAAAATCAGACACCTATCATGCCCTTGCCGTTGAGATTTTTCCTGTGCTATACTTGTGAGCAGCTACCTGGACCAAAGTACCCATGTGTGTAACTGTAGGTCAACATGATGGTCCTGAGTTCAGCCAGAAAAATTCTTTAGCATTTTAAGCTTCACTGTAATTATCCATTTCCCCACTGCAGCAGTCATAAGTAGTGTTATGGGCGAGTAAAGCATACCATTTGTAATTAGCCAAACTATTTAGCACTAGCCTCCATGTCAGTAAGGAGTGGGAGAAAAGTGTTATGCACTCTACTGATTGCCTGTCCCCCATTGATTTATTCCTTTTCTCATGCCAGAACTCTAGTTTTGTTCAAGAATTACTTTAAAAATTATTTTAAACATATAACTTTCTACAGTTCATGTGTTTAGGGAAGTGGATCCCATCTCCAGTTCCAGAGGTTAGTCCTGACAAGTCTACGCCAGTTAGTATAGGACATTTTCCTGGTTACTGGTCTGGGATGGGCACAAGACCTAAATTGGGCCTAACTGGACCAAGGGTATAAAAGGATTGATCCTTTGGTGAGGAAGAGGCTCTTTTCCTGTCCTGCTGGAAGCAGATGGCCCTTATTTTAAAAGTTTTGAGTTATCTTATAATCATAGGAAATTAGGCTTTAGAATGAATCTGATATTGTATACTGTGAAATTGTTTTATTATACTGCTGAATCAAACCTAAGTCTAAATCTTATCCTTGCCCAGGACAGCCTACAACTTCAGAAAAAAAATTCCTTGTAACGGAAATCAAGATTTCTATTACTTGCAGCTGAAATCATTTCTCACTGCTAGACATGGAAAAAAGAATCCCAGAGAACAAAGCTGTTGGCCATGAAGGGTCCCAGGACAGGCACAGTTGAACTACAGACACAGGATGCTTGTACCTGCTAAAAGAAGAGTCAGAATGAGCCACCCATCTCTTGCCCCCTTTCATTTCTGGGCAGTGGTTCTCTAGGCTTCTTTCCTGTTTTTTGCTTTGGGGGATTTTTTTGCTTACTACTCAGATTAGTTCATACCTCATAGTAGTTTATACCTGAGATAAACTTTAATTTTTAAAAAATTCTTTATCTTCTTTTTCTATGCCTTAACTTAGCTTCCCACTGGTGTTACACCAGGCCGCTTATTTAATTATGCTTCCTCATTGGGTTAGAGGTATGTGTCAGATTATTTAACCTGTTTCTCCATATTTTCTGTTTTAGAATATAAAAGTATAAATGTAAGGACCATATTTCTTAGATACCAGAAGAATTCAGACTTGTAAAGCTCTTCTGACAACTCTTCTCATATCCTTGGCTCTATCCCGTCCAGTAGGAAGAGAAAGAAATATTTATCAATTTGGATTGTTCTAGGAGTCTTTGTGCCAGGAAAACCAGGTTTGATATTATGGGGCTGTTTTAGAAATAGAGTAGTATTGCTATATCAGAAGAGATACACAGTGTTATTAATTTACATCTTGTAGCCTTTTCAAAGGTAACAAGTATGTGCTAGAAGATGAGCAGTTGCTTTTTAACATATATGAGGAAGCAAAAGCTCTAAGTTCATTCCAACATCATTTAAAAAACAAAGTGATGTGAAGTTTTGGTGTAGTTTTTATAAGCCTGAAGGGATGTTTTAGCATTTAGAATGACTATGTTATTTGGCTATGTCAAGTGTGATAATAAAATCCTGCTTAAGTTATCTAAACAGAAAATGAATATGCTCTAACACTTGAAAGATTCTAGTAAAGGTAGTAAAAACACTGGGAGTTGAGGGGAGGTGGTAGCATTTGAAAGAAGCCAGGACCGAGTGTTCTTGGCAGTCTACAGAATTTCCCAGAGGAAGTGAATGTGCAGTACATGCATTAGGCTCGAGAAGGGGAGATGGAGATTGGTGTGCGGACTGGAGTGGTGTTTCCTGAAGCCAGTGCCACATGGAAGGGGAAAGAATTAGTCTGAAATTATAAATAATAGGAAAAACAATTACCCACAACATTTAGGGCAAGAGTTGAAGAAAACTGTGAGTCACACTTCGATACCAGTTTTCTATGATGTGGCATGCTAGGATATAGCAATAGCTAATAACATTTATTGATTACTATGTACCAGACATTGATTTGAATGCTTAGCCCATATGATCCTTACAACCCTATAAAACTGTGCTTACCAGGACGGTGGCCAGTAGTCATTTGTGGCTATTTAAATTTACATTTAAATCAATTAAGATTACATAAAAAATGTAGTTTCTTAGTTGTACTAGTCGCATTTCAAATGCTCAATAGCCACATGTGGCTAGTGGCTACCATTTGGACAATACAGAATAGAACATTTCCTTAGTCACAGAAAATTCTATTATATAATGCTGTTATAACGTGTACTATTAACTCTCTTTTATTTATAGGTCAAGTAACTGAGACCCACATTAGTTAAATAACACACCCAAGGTTATACAGCTAATAAGGAACAGAGCCAAGATTCAAATCCAGTATAGCTTCAGAGCCTTCACTCTCTCACCCCTATGGTATTCTGCTTAAAAAGACAGTTTGCAATCAAACAGTGCCATGTCCTCTTGATAGTTTTATGTTAACAAAATGCACTTACTGAAAAAGGGAAAAAAGATTACAAGAAATATACAATTCAATAAAAGTGTAAGTTTGTTAAAATAATTGAAATACTGGGGAAAATGTGTGCTATGTTACCTTAAATTCTGTAATGGGCAAGTTCTTAGAGTTGATTGATGGCCTAAGCTGAGTTTTATCTCTTAACTACTGCCCTCCATCTATATCTAAATACCTGAATCTCTCTTCCTGTTTCATTTCACTTGTCTTTGTTAGAACCATTGCTCTCCAGAATTACTGTGTTTATCATTGCTCACTCATGTTTCAGGCTTTCTTAAATGAAAGTGTCAGATCTTTAAATAATCTTTAAATAACTTCTTTTTGAGACTACTCAAGGAGGTCTTGAGATTCTATAAAGTGTTTGTCATTGGCTGGGAATTCTAAGAAAAGTTGTGAGCTGTCTAAGTCTAAAAAACTTAAATATTTATTCCATATGGGTACTACATCATTTGAGAAGAGGAGGAGTAGAATTCTGTCTTCTTTTTTAATCATTTGTATGTTCTAATTCTTCCAGTTGATGTGCCTATAGAAAACATTTCATCTCTTTCAAAATACCAACGGTGTATGAAGTGGGAGGGTATACAGAGAGATTTCAGTCAGTCATAAGTTTATTGATGTATCATTGAAAACATTGTCATGCCCAGGCATATAAATAGGTGCTGGAGATAAAAAGATAAATAAGACTTTTCTTAGGTTTCAAAAAACTTGCAGTCCTAATGGGAGAGACAGTGGCAGAGTTGTATGCCATACTGAGGTAATTCATAAAAGTACTCCCGGGGTTCCATGGGAATATTCTGAGAGGGCGCTATACCCAGCAGGGGCTCCATTTGACAGCAGGTGTTTTTAATTTTGGGTAATAGGACTCTTTGGGAATCTAATAAAAGCTAAAGATACTCATGTTCAGGGTGGTTGTTGAGTAAAGTAGTTTAAAATATAATGGGATTGAGATTTAAGATGCTGGCATGAGAGGTGAGACAGAAGCTTCCTCCTAAAACTGCATATAATACAAAAATATAATTAATACAACTAATCCTGAGAGAGCAACAGGAAAGAGGCCTATGCCAGATTGCGTACACCTGGAGAAAGAGCAGACCTCATGGAACAGCGTAACTTATAAAAGCTGGGTCCCAGCGGGACCCAAGCCCTTTCCCCACCCCAGCTCACCGACGGGAGGAAGAGAAACTGAGCAGGGAGGGAGTGGAGGCCTGGAACTGCTGAATACCTAACTCTGGAGATCTGCTGTGGGAGCACAAACATACATTTCATGGTGCTTTCATGATACTTTCATGATTACGGGGTTGGAAAGCTAAGACAGACAGAATTCCTGGAGAGACTGAGATTCCAGCTGCTTGTGGAAAGCAAGGATCCATATCCAACTGCTCTGGGACAAAAGCTTATACCTGTGTGCTCGGCTCACTGGTTCAGGCAGTGGAGACAGGCATAGCAGCTGGGAAGCAGGAAACAGCTCTATCCTCCCCCCAGGCATCAATCCCACTCCCCTGTGACCCTTGACATTGCCTCAGGGGTCGAACAGCTCCAGAGAATAGAGCGTATGGACACTAGAGGGTGCCACACACAACTATGAAATGCCAAAGGAACCTGGTACAGAGTAAAATTAATATAACCCCTGAGAAAGATGACATGGAGCTCATGACTCTTCCTGAAAGGGAGTTCAAAATAAAAATCATTAACATGCTAATGGAGGTATGGAAAGATATTCAAGGACTCAGGAATGATTCTGGTCAGAGATCCAATCGTTAAAGAGCACAGCAGAGGGTATTAAAAGCAGATTAGATATGGTGGAGGAGACAATAAATGAAACAGAAACTAGAGAAGAGGAATACAAAGAAGCTGAGGTCCAGAGAGAAAAAAGGATCTCCAAGAATGAAAGAATATTGAGAACTTTGTGACCAATCCAAACGGAACAATATTTGCATTATAGGGGTACCAGAAGAAGAAGAAGAGAGAGAAAGGGATAGAAAGTGTCTTTGAGGAGGTAATTGCTGAAAACTTCCCCAATCTGGGGAAGGAGAAAGTCTCTCAGGCCATGGAGATCCACAGATCTCCCAACACAAAGGACCCAATAAAGACAACACAAAGACATACAGTAATTAAAATGGCAAAGATCAAGGATAAGGACAGATTGTTAAAAGCAGCCAGAGAGAGAAACAAGATCACATACAAAGGAAAGCCCATCAGGCTAACATCAGACTTCTCAGCAGAAACCTTACAGGCTAGAAGGGAGTGGCATGATGTATTTAATGCAATGAAGCAGAAGGGCCTGGAACCAAGATTACTTTATCCGGCAAGATTATCATTTAAATTTGAAGGAGGGATTAAACAATTTCCAGATAAGCAAAAGCTGAGAGAATTTACCTCCCACAAACCATCTCTACAGTCTATTTTGGAGGGACTGCTATAGATGGAAGTGTTCCTAAGGTTTAATAACTGTCACCAGAGGT